CACGCAGCGACCGCCTCCTCTAGCGCAGGAGGCCCTCAGACTTTTCCTTATTTCTTTTCCCCATATGTAAAGAAAGGGACGAGCGAAGCAGGCCTGTGCAGTCATCTCTGCAGGATCCCTTCCCCAAGCCCGGGCCATCCTCCCCTCCCTGGGCCAGGAGTAATGCAACCTGTTCCTCTCAGATCGAAAGGTCCAAGGTTTGCTCTAAGTAGCAAGTTCGCGTGCCTCACACCTCTCTGAGCCTCACCAGCTCTGTAATCAGGTGGCGGTAGCGGTGCCATTTTGTTCTTGAGCACGGAGTTCATCTACAGAAGCAGAAAGGAAAACTTATGTCTGTTCGCTGTCCTGAAAATAGAGGATGCTTTACAGAAGCCTACATGGAAATGGAGCTGTTTGGTTTGGAAATGCCTGCATGTCTTAAATAAAGCATAAAAACAACAGCCGCCAATCAAAACAGCAGGACCACTCTCTCGAGCAGCCCCACACACCCCCAAAAACATATATAAATGCAGCCAAGTACTTGCAATCGAGTATGCAAAGCAGCTTCAGATTTGTGGCCTCTATCCCTGCCTAGAAGTACAGAACACAAGGTGGCATTTGGGCATCTGTCGGGTTTCTCAAGGTACGTTATGCTGGTAACACACCGCGCTCACCCCCTCCCACGTGAGAACGGGGCTGCAGTTCAGATCCAAAGGTTCTTTCCCACCCTCCCCAGGCGTCGTGCATGTGATAACTGCAGAACCTGCAGAAGGCAGCTGTTGAGCCCCTCAAAAACACGCGGGGAAGATTCAGTGCGCAGCATCTTACCCCTTTCCACACTAAGCAGAGTCACCTTGGAAATGAGTTTTTGGATCTTCCCCCCTCTCTGTTGCCAGCAGCAGGGAACTGTGAAAGCCAAACGACACCTCCAGGTACAACAGGGCTGCACCTCAGGCACTCGCACATGCACTGCGCCCTCACGAGGCATTTTGTGTCATGTTGAGAATTATTTGGGTGTCACGTTATCTAATACCTTCCATAATGGAAGGAGATTAACAGGATTTGAGAATCAGTGCAATTTCACACTGCTGGTAGATTACTTGCAAACTTCCCAGAAAGAAATACAGAATCCTCCACTGTCGATTTAAGTTTCATGGGAGAACTGAAACTCAACCTCTGTCATCCTGAAGTGATGTCAAGGCTTTATGAAACATAAATACAGACTCATCTCCAGTTACATAAAATGGTCAGAAACACTAACAGTCTAGGGCAGAGTAAAGCACGTAAAAACATAACATATAAAGCAGGAAACTATCACAAGTATTTAATCTACTGTCTCACAGCATGACCTACATTTTTATACAGAACCTTCCAAAAAGGCAAAGCATTTTGCTTCATTACCAAATTCATACATGATCTTAGATTAACAGCATAGTTACATTCTCATGGTGTGCTGTCAAGGATAAATGCACATTCATGGGGTAGTTGAGCAGATGCACAAATCCTTCATGAGACTCATTTTTGGTGAATTTCTGGAATAGTTTCTGGACATCCATTTCCATGAAGAGCTAAAGCCACCGGGATTTTCTAGATAGTGTAAGACCTAAAGTGTAAGACGACCTAAAACCGACACAATGAGAATTGTGAATTTATACAAGGTAGAAAATGAAGTCTTTACATTAAAAAAAGAAAAAAACAAACAACCAACCAAACAAAAAACCCCATACCCAACAAGCAACTACACGAAGCCCCCAGACGTGACACACACCTGCAATTAGAGACCTCTAGGCTACTTCGCTACCTGCAATAGTTATTGCACATTTAGAAAGGGCAAGCGACAAGTATTTTAGTACGAGAACTGTTCAAGTAAGTTTTAATAGAGTGCACCAGTGAATCAAGATGACTTGCATCAGATTTTGTTTCAATGAACATCAGATCAAAAAAAAAGCGAAGGGGCTACAGTTCTTTCTTTCCAAACACCACCCTTTTCCTAAGGCAACAATACACGTCCATGTCAGAACAGAACTGTTACAGAAGAGAGCTACAGCACAGTACAGCATGTCAAGTCCATCTCCGGCAAGAAGCCGCTCGAGGAGGGCACATCAACTACACTTACAGCCTTCTAAACTTCAGGGTTACAGAGTTTTACCACAGCTTTTTTTTTTTTTAATTTTTATTTTTTAAAGTGACAATTTCTTAATGAACTTTCTATTCTTCACAAGTGTGCAGATGGGGCCCATATGTTGATATTACAGTAATTACGACATTAAATAACATTGCACAACCAACCTCTATGGTTAATTCAGTACAAAATAACAAGTATTAAAATGTACCAGTACTAGTGGTTTTACACAGTTTATAATCATTAATCATGAAGGGGAAAAAAGTGTGTGTGTGTGTTTTTTTTTTTCTTTTTTCTTTTCTGTAGGCAAATGCCTAATTACAAAGCTGCACATTACAGGCATAATGATGTGGAATAAATACAAGAAATCTGATAAAATATTAAACACAAACAGGTTACATGGGAACAAACTGTACAACCACGAAAGCATAAATCAACAATTTATCATTATAAACAAGGTATGTTTAGCTGTAAAATATTATGTGGAATTGCATGTACTCTTTGGGGGCACATATTCCAAAAGCCAAGCTAATTCCTGAGGTGTTATTATTAATTTATACAATTGGTCAACACTTCAGATTATCTTGTGCTATTAAACAGTCCCAATATTAATATATTTCCATAAAATGGATTTTATAATATTCTGAAGGCAGCAAACAACTGATATCTTACACCATGATACTCAAATGAAATAATTTACGGTTAGCCATTTGGGTGCTACATTTGTTAGTGGGCTAGGGAATATAATTTGCAGACAAAAACATGACCGATGCCTGGTTTCTGTTCCCCCACAGCTCTGAGCTGGCCCAAGGCAAAACAAAGTTTTTAAACTGTAAGTGCCAACACTGTAAACATGTTTTGTATTTGTCAACTAAACACTGTCCAATAGCAAGGTTAAGAGCCAAAGATAAGCAGGAACAGTCTTGTGTAGAACAAAAGCCGATTTATTCATCGACTTTTGGTTCAAATCATGAACAGTTTTTAAATAATTAAAAATGGTCATGCTACAGTTGTGAAAACTATTTTTGTGCATTTGACTCAGGACACAGTTTTTTTTTTTTTCTTTTTAAAAAATGCATGATAGAGGTAAGACTTATAAAAACCACCAAAAATGTAAGTGACAGGGAAGAACTTTTCCAACTCAAAGCATCAAACATACATTTCTGTGCAGAAATCTAGACAACTATACAAGATCCGTATTTAAGCAGTCATCTTTTTATTATACAACTCTATGAACATAAAATGAACAGAATGCTCTATATACTTACCTGTACATGTGAACATAACTTCTTTAGCTACAGTTATTTAATATAGGTTATACTGGATTTAACTTTACAATTCTGAATAACTATGTATAACCTTATTGCAATAAGGGCAATTTCTACATGGGGAGTTTCACAGGCCAATCACATTAGGCGTAACCAGTACATTCAAAGTGTAGATCATGTATGAATCTTCCCTGATCCCAGAAAAATGTAGTTTCTCTTTACAGCTTAAGCTCATTCGCTATCTTGGATGCAATGTTCTTAAATGCAATAGAAGTCCCGGATATTCTCTTGAAACGAACTCCGTTGAGCGACAACCGCGGCAGCTTGCAGACTTCCATCTCCCACTGGACAAGGCTAT